CTTGGACATACACATCCGGGCTACCTTCGATGGCTCCCGCAATGTAGGAAAGCGGCATCAGGTCACCTGAAGCCGAGATGGAGCCTCTCAGAGGTACGACAGGCGTGATGTGATTCTCGATCAGCCGCAGCAATGACTCGATCACAGGCAATGAAACGGCAGAATGGCCCCGAGCGTTTGAATTGCATCGAACCAGCATTGTGCCTCGCACCCACGAGGCTGGCATAGCGTGCGATTCAAGCGACCGCTGCTGAAACTCTAAGCCCTTGTCTGATCTAACTAGAACGCCAGCTTGAAGAAGTTGGAGCAGTCCAGACTGCAGTGCAACGACTCGGTCAGTTCTCGAGTCGGCGCTTCCACCAAACCCTGTATTGACACCTGCGGATATTTATTAACATCCTCAATCGGTCAACGCTGGTCAACAAGGCATAATACCGTATACGCAGTAACCCTTGTCCAGATGGTCCATCAAAACTCGAACACTCGCTTCGATGCTGCCTCGGACAACAGGGTCCTCGGTCATCCTAGGTATGCACCCATGGCTGCGGCATCATGGCTGTCAGTCTCGCGTCGCAGCTACTAGGAATGTGACAGACTATACGTACTGTGCCACGGCTACGACGGCCGCTATATCAAGGCTTGTACCATTTACCTCGACATCCTGGCGTTCCAGCAGTTGTTGCAGCCTCTGCCAGGTCTGACAGGCCGTCCCAAGATGGGCGTTGAGATAAGGAGTCTTCATTTTCAATTCTTGAAGCTCAATAATGCATCGGGATTGCAGTTGATATTTCAATATGTATCTTCTACGAAGTATGGAGTAATGATTATCGGAAAAGCAAATCAAGTCTCCTATTTATCCCTCGATGTGACCTGGAATTCGGAAACCAGTAGAGCCCTCTCCTCACCCGCAGCACGGAAAGCAAATGTCTCAGCTATTCGCCTTCCCAGGAAGGACCAAGATCGCCGCACTGAATAATGGGGCAGAGGATCGACCTGCAAAAGTACCATTGCCGCTGCGACTGAGGGCGTTCAGGGGGAGGGTGGTTGGTTGCATTGGGCGTGTTTGCTTCTTCTTCTGCGCCATCCCGCATTCCTCAGCTGTGGATGCTTGGGAGGTCGCACAACATGGTTGGTCCAGAGCTGGAGGTTATTGATTTTGAATCAAGGTTGGTTTTGATCTATCAGTGATCAACGAGGGTTCGGGATGATGCAAGGCTCGAGAGCTCGTGGGGACGAACCTTGATTCGTGCACTGCAGGTGATTCTACCCCTGTAATCTTGCATGTTACATCCTCAGTGGCTCGAACGAATCGTGCTCCGGCCGTGCAGCATGCGTCGATCCGATCATGGGATCAAGTGAGATAGATCGGTGCGACGGAAGCCCGATCGGTGAGAGATATGGACAGGGATTGGAATTTGCTGGGGGTGGAGCATGCAGACGCTATTGACCTTAAAGTTGAGGGCCGTAAGCGTCTGGCGAATCGGAAGGACATGAATGAAGGTAGAAGTGTGATATCGTTCCTACCATGGGGTCCGTGAGGATCGTACGGAAGTCTGCTACCAGCAGCACTCGCATCGTCACCTGATTTTTCTGTTGGCTAAAGAATCTAGGCAGCATCCATTACATCCGAGATACGTTTGGGAAGAAATATAGACAAACATTTCAGTTCGTGAGATTGGTATCTGCTACAAGTAACCTCTGCTAGGTATACATTCGCTCTGAAGATATGCAAGTGAATCACAGTAGACCATAAATGAACCATGTGCGCCATCCCTTTCCCAGTTGACAAGATGGTAAAAAAAAAAGATGAAGAAAAGTGGCGATAAATGACCAAAGTTATCCGCAATAAGAAAGTACACCCATGGGAGGCGCTACCTCATGGCTCCTTGCATCAACTGCTGACGCAAAAGCATGATTTGATTCCGCTCCATTGGTGGCAAAGCATCAATGGCTGACTGAGGCATACTGAGTACTTGCTGTAGAAGTTCTTCTTGCGATGGAACCTGTTGCTGGGGTGCCGCTTGTGTCGCAGGTTGAGGGGCAAAAGGTGTGCTGGCCATTGGTGGCGTGGAGATCTGACCAGGTACGGCTGAGAAGGGCTGAAAAGCCTGTGCCGCAGGAGGAGCCGAAGGAGCGGCCGCAGCAGTGGGTTGCGCCGCTTGCTCCACCACTGCTCCCAAAGTGCTGTAGTCGACGAGATTCATGAGCAACAGTGCCTGGAAAATGGCATACGCCAGCTGCGGGGCCTGTCTCAGGAGCTCCGTCGCGCGGGCCGGATCAGTCATTGCCAAAGACTTCATTTGTGAAAGAACGTCGAGGAGCTGGTTCGGGGGTAAGGACGAAAGTGTCTGAGAGATAGCGTTTGGACAATCCAAGTGAGGCGGCACCTCGACGCCGGGGGGAAGAGGAGGGAGAGGCGCAGATGGCTGCTGTCCGGGTTGAACATCTTGACTGGGCAACTGAGATGTCTGAGAGTAGTCAGGAGGCACCGAATCCTTCTCATTGTTGTGAGGCCAGTCCACGCGGATCTTCCTGCCCATGATCTCGTAGTCGTTCAAGTTCCGGACCGCAGAGGCGGCGGCGTCTGCATCGGCGAAGTCTGCGAAGCCGTAACCCTTTGGTTTCCCCGTCTCCGGGTTCATCATAAGACGAAATTTGGTGACTGTGCCGGCGGAGCTGAGGATGTCTTTGACCTGTTCCTCCGTAAGGTCTTAAATGGACTCGTTAGCGAGACCGGACAGGAGTGCAAGGGACGAAGGCGCACAGAGTTGAACATACTGTAAGGGATATTTCCCAGGAAGACACTCTTCCCGGTCCTCTCTGGAGCCATCTTGTTGCGTTTATCGCTTTCGAACGAGCTCTATTTCTGAAGGCAAGCTGTGGAGCTAAGCGCGTGACGTGAGTTTCAAAGACAAGTGCTAGGATTTGGAGGGCCGGGCGAGTAATGGTAGAAGGCAAATGTAAATTAAATTACAGATATATCGCAGGGTGTTCTAGAATAGTAACAATTTCAACAGATCCAAAACTCAAGATCTGTGTTGATGAATGAAGTATTGCAACAATGAAAAGCTGTGAGCAGGACCAAACGCTTGTCTTGTTTGAGCTGTCTGTCTCCAGGCGGTGGCCGAACTTTTGATCGAACCTCAAAGTGCCGGGTTCATCCACACCTCACTTCTCCGACGTCAGCTTCACATCTTTTCAACCACAATCATGGCTCGGAATCCTAAGGAACAGTGGGAGCGGCTCCAGGTAATTCTGCAGAACCGTGCAGGTAAAGGAGGGTTTGGTTTTGGAGGTGGATTTCCTGGAGGAGGTCGCGGCGGCTTCGGAGTAACTGGAGCTCTCATCGTGCTCGGTCTCGGTGGATATGCTTTGTCGAACTCGCTCTTCAACGGTGAGGATGGCTTTCTTTGTTATGGATAATGCGAAGTACAGAAGTGCTGACTTTTCATTCGGCCAACAGTTGATGGTGGTCACCGTGCCATCAAGTACTCGAGAATAGGCGGAGTCAAGAAAGAAATCTACAACGAAGGTACCGATGCCATTATCTGAGGCCATTCATACGGCAAAATCATCTTACAAACACTTTTTCCTACTTTAGGAACACATTTCCGAATCCCATGGGTTGAAACACCCGTCATCTACGACGTGCGCGCGAAGCCACGAAACATCGCTTCCCTCACGGGTACCAAGGACTTGCAGATGGTGAACATCACCTGTCGTGTGCTATCAAGGCCTCGAGTAGATGCCCTTCCTCAGATCTACCGTACCCTCGGCACAGACTTTGATGAGCGTGTCCTTCCGTCTATCGTTAATGAGGTCCTCAAGAGCGTGGTTGCGCAATTCAACGCGAGCCAGCTGATTACACAGCGTGAGAACGTCGCGAGACTCGTTCGGGACAACCTTGCTCGCCGTGCTGCGCGCTTTAACATCGCTCTAGACGATGTCTCTCTTACTGTACGAACCCTTTTGACTCGTCTACCCCCAATCAATGCTTATATAACTGATCTGTTTCATTTTGGCTTTCTAGCACTTGACCTTCTCCCCCGAGTTCACCGCCGCCGTCGAAGCCAAGCAAGTCGCTCAGCAGGAGGCCCAGCGCGCTGCGTTCCTCGTCGACAAGGCCCGCCAGGAGAAGCAAGCCTTCATTGTCCGTGCCCAGGGTGAGGCCCGCTCTGCTGAGCTTATCGGTGACGCAATCAAGAAGAGCAAGAGCTACATCGAGCTCCGTAAGATCGAAAACGCGAGACAGATTGCCCAGATTCTGCAAGAGAGCGGCGGAAAGAACAAGCTGTATCTTGACACCCAGGGTCTGGGTCTCAATGTCAACGCAGCACGTGCGGACGAATCGAAGTAAATGCATATGCTTGGGGACTCTCGGATCAGAATTACTGGCGCTATTACAATCGCTCGGACCGCGATCTAGGACGTGGAACATGTTATCTGTATAAATAAGTTGATCTTCAGGATTTCAGTGCAACCTGGCGAATTTTTTCTCTTCTCTACAACTGTTGCATCTTCTACGATCGATTGCCCCGAAAACCTAGAATCCTCGTAGAACCTATCCGCTGTTGACAGTAATGTATATTTCTATAATTCTATCATCAAGCACCGATAGCATCAACTCAGATCAAGCGTGTCTTCACGTTAAACATCTCTTTGCCATTCGATGACGCCCTGTCCGGTCTATCAAGGAGTGGATAAGCAGTGCGGGGATGCGATAAAAGCGGTGGGCGGGACTCATTTTTTTCAATATCGGAGGCCTGCGCATATCTCTTTTCCAGCAGGAAGTGGAAATTAGCACTTGTTCCGGGTTTCAGCCTGCTGTATCCCTCAGAAACTCAAGGTACGTATCCTGATCCAATATTTCTCCCGAGTCCAGACAAATTCTTTATCAGCCTTGCCAATTTCCGTACCCTACCGCATCTATGGAGTACAATCAGACGAGCAAGACAACGCATTGAATGGGCCAACCTATTAACTCCTAGAACAGTACAGACATGGCCGACCCCCTCGCAGACCTCGACTCCAATGTCGACCTCGCGGTTCAAGAAATTCTCCTCGCCGCCTCGCAACACGACATCCCCAAACTCCGCCGTCTCATCCGCTCCAACGACAAAGACGGCAACCCGGCCAACGTGAAAGACCCCGAGACAGGCTTCTCGCCTCTCCACGCAGCGATCGCAGCTTGCGAGCCTGAAGAGCCACAAACAGGGACCAATGGTGTCAATGGAGAGACGAGCAGCGCCAGCACGGAGAAGAAGAGTCTCGTGCAGTCCGGCGCGGAGACGGTCAAGTTCCTGCTCCAGGAGGGCGCGATCTGGAATGACCTGGACCTGAACGACGAGACGCCGGGGTGTATCGCGCGGCGGCTGGGGCTGACCGAGCTGTACGAGATGATGGTGGATGCGGGTGTGCGGGCGGAGCTGCTTCTCAACCGGTTGGACGGCTACGAGCCGCTCTCGGACGAGGAGGACGAGGAAGAAATGGGACAGGACGAGGGCACCGCCAACGAACCAGCTGCGGAAGAGGATCAGGACCAGGATCAGGATCAGGCTCCGGAGTTAGTCGAGACAGCCACGGCCAGCGCCGCCGAGGCAAGCACAGCCGGACCAGGCCCGGACGTCACGAGCTCGCGCTACCTCGATTCGAACCTGACCTTCACAAACGACCGACTGCTGGACCAGGACCAGAACGGCGTGATGATGGCCTGGGAGACGGAGATCATGTCCAGATCCGCCAAGAAGCTGCTCCCCACTACAGGGCTGCGCGTAATGAACATCGGCCACGGCATGGGTATCGTTGATGGCTTCATCCAGGAACAGTCGCCCGCGGCGCACCACATCGTCGAGGCACACCCGGACGTCGTGGCGGAGATGAAGCGGAAAGGCTGGCACGAGAAGCCCGGCGTTGTGATCCATGAGGGTCGCTGGCAGGATATCCTGCCTGCGCTGGTGGCGCAGGGCGAGACCTTTGATGCGATCTACTACGACACCTTTGCCGAGTCGTATGCTGATTTCCGGGAGTTTTTCAGCGAGCAGGTTATTGGGTTGTTGGAGCAGGATGGCAAATGGGGTTTCTTCAATGGCATGGGGGCTGATAGGCAGATTAGCTACGATGTCTATCAGAAAGTGGTAGAGATGGATCTGTTTGAAGCCGGGTTCGATGTAGAGTGGGAAGAGATCAAGGTGCCCAAGCTCGAGGGAGAATGGACTGGTGTCCGCAGGCCCTACTGGGTGGTTGACAATTATCGCCTGCCCTTGTGTAAGTTTATGGATTAAGTGATATATATACCCTTGGATAATCAATAGATGGATGTGATATATTAGTTGGATATTTCAGTGTCTCCTACTGCACGGGTTTTCTTCCTTAGCAACAAGACTACATGGGCTTCCATATGCCCACCTCTGGAGGGTTTTTTATATTGTAAGCTGCGTATTGGCGCCACAGTCATCGCCAGCTTATATATTACACAGGTGTACTATAGCCAAACGATTGGTCTCGGCAAGAAGGAATGACCTTGAAGTGACTATGTACACTCTAACATCGTCTAGTTACATGTGATTGACCAAGTGTGGTCATGGCATCTTAGCATACAAGCAAAGACTTCGTGGTGATCAATGAGCATCGCTAATTCAAATAAGAGGACATTCATAAAAGCAAAGAAAGAGATGGGTTGAAGGAGAATAAGAGCCGAAGAAGACTCCGCAGTATTTTGCTTGCGGGCAGGAAATAATAGGAGAAAGAGGCATCTATAACTGAATGAGATCGACCTCKGAGAAATCTGGTGGACTGCGGCTGAAGATAGTGCGGCACTTGGCGTCCAGTGCCTGATACTCGTTACTGATCCAGATATGCTTGCTGAAACGTTGAGTTCTGTACACCTCGTCATCGCTTACTCCAAGATCGTCTCGCGGAATCCATATCACGGGACGTTTTGCCCGTAGAGCGTCATGTTGAAACGCTCGCTGAGTCAGTTGATCACGCTCATCTGGGGTGAGATCCTCCAACTCATCATGAATACCGGCAAACAATGCGGGCCCGATGTTACCCGTCGGAGGGCCTTGGGCTTCGGCGTCATGCGCGATCTTCTCACGGACTCGCTGCAAGGTCGGCACTGAACCGCCCGAATGAGTTCCAAAATATTTAGATCGTGTTTTTGAGGACCGATCTGCCCACGAATGATGGCGGCTGTTGTGGGGAGTGCCGGTTTGAGTCGATGCTCGCCTCCCAGAACCAGCTTCGATGTTCTTCAGTTCGATCTCGTGGGCCCTCCTGTCTGCTTCGTGCTCTTGATGTTCCCGCTCTGCCAGCTGGTGCTCGATCGTGTCGGTCTGGTCTTCCTCAGGAAAGCCAAGTCGGGCGCGCTGAGCGCGGCTGAACTCCTCATCACGACGGACAGCGTCATCCTCCAGGGTAATCGGCAAGTAACGAATTAGAGGGCTAAAGGCTTCGTTCAGAAGGATCTGGTACCCGATCGTGAGAATCAAAACCACAATCATGCATATTGCTTGCCCTTCGCAGGCAACGTTGCCATCCACATCACGGACCAAAAAGAACAGCCCGATCAGGCTGAGTTCCATGACATATAAGCCGGTGAAGAGCTGGTTGATAGCTCGAGGGAATAGCAGCCCGCCAGTATCAAAGCGGAATTTGGTGACGTACAGCGTGTTATATCTGTACACGAACCAGAACAGGCCGAAGGTGATGATGTTGAATACCAAGATCAAGGGGGAGATCACACAATAGATCAGACCTGTATTTTGCGCATTAGCTACATCAGAAGCAGTCCCTGTTAGTTAAACATACCGATCGCTGCGAGAGTAGTATAGACCGGAAAGAAAGTGCCCCATTGCATCTGATTCAAGTTCGTTGTGCGTCCCCATTTCTTTCTTGCCGTGTTATCCAGTAAGGGTGCCAGAATAAACCAGCTGATCAAGCCAAAGATCTGCACTAAAGCTCCCGCACTCACTGACAGCGCCTGTAGAATCATATACGAGAAAAAGTAGTTGCTCGAGGAGGGGATGTTTTGGGCCAGTAATTCTGGCCAACTGGTGACGTTTGTGACGTTATCGATGATCGTTGAGAAACTGGAGGAGATAGCAACGACCAGGAACAACTGGACGAACAGGAAAGCAAAGAAGTAGTTCTGAACGGTAAGTTCGATGGCCATACCAGTGTGTGACCCTTGAGCTCGACAGAGGAATCGAAGAATCAGGGGCAGGAGCGCCATCAAGATGGCTAAGAAAAGTGGGGGCAAGATACCCTGGATGGCAGAGATGAGCCAGTCTGGCAGCTTGGAGAGCCAAGATAACCATTTGAAGGCGTTTTCCAGGTAAGACAATTGAGACAGCAAACCAGTAAACGCGACGGGGAAGGCCCAGCCAACCACCATGGCGCAGACGATCGTGAGAATCCCGAACGTCCTCAGATAGCGCTCCCACCATCTGATTGACATGTTGTCCCAAATCACATCGTCCGGCGAGATCTCCACGATGCGAGGGGCCATTTGTTTTGGCAGGTGATGACTGACAGCCTGACAAGCCATATGAGCAGCCACCTGGTGGTTGAACTGTATGAACGCTGAATTCATGAGGGGGAATTTCTCGGGGTGTTGCTGGTCAATTTCAATCTCCAGATTTAAGCGAGCGACTTCCTTCCGGCAATAGTCTATTGTGTCGACCTTTTTGCCAATGAGCCAGAGGGAAGGCATCCAACTGAGACCAAAGATTGGCAACCTCATTGTGTCACGATCCTTTTCCCGGATGTACTTTTTCCATAGGGGCTCTCCATAGTCTTCACTGTCAAAGTCTTCATTGTATGCCACCGGATATTCCTCACCTTCGACTTTGTCACCTTCTCTCCGGCCTTTGTGCTCCTTGCATTTTCGCTTTTCATCATCGTGCGATCTTTCCTCGGTTGAAGCTTCTCCTTCGACCGGATCCTCTGGAGCGGTGAGTGGAAACTCATCCGGTTCTGTCCTGTTGCTCGTTTTCGAATAATTGCTAGAAACTCGACTCTTCCAGAAGGGCCGTCTTGGCTTGGAGTTCGATCTGCTATGGGGAGCATCGGATGGTGCGCCATTCTCATTCATAGACGCTGCATTTTCATTCTCAATTGATGGAGTGATGCTATCGTTGCTTGGTCGCCAAGGACCTGGCAGCTCTGCGCTGTTTGTTTCGGCATCCGGTGCTCTTTGTTGGAGAGGTCCGGTAGTCCCAGCGTCTGGTACATAGCCCCTTGGCCTAGTCAGAGTGCCGTCGATGTCGCCCTCCACTCGTTTTAGAGTTCCCAAAACGGATCTGCCCAACTTGCTGACACCTTGACCGACCATCCCTACCGCTTCCACAGCTGGGTCGAAGGGCTTGCGTCTTTTAGGCTCTTCAGATTCGGGAAGATGCTTTCCATGAACATCGCGATGCAAAATCTGGTTCAATGTGTGAGCTTGGTGCGGATCACCAGCGCTGATACCGCCGCCTGCAGCTAATTGCAGCGCATTCTCATCGGTGGTTTTCTTCTGCTTCCCCTCTACCTCCTTGGCGCTCAATCCGGTCTTCTTCGCTGCGGCCTTCGCCTGCTTCAATTGGGCTTTCTTGCATTTGATGATCAAGTCCGTCTCTGCAGACTCTAGCTTCAATGCTAGCGCATCACGTTGCTTCACCTTCTCGTTCAGATCGTCAAAATTGCGATTGATCCATATATTTCGGATGCCACCCGGGAAAACATCATACAGTGACTCCAAAGCCTCCACAGACAGCCAGCTGTCTGGGATGGCTGTTACCAGCACTGTTGTTGCGGACGCTCGAAGTCGATGCTGTGGGGAAGTCAGGTAGGCTTGCCGAAGGCGAATATAACCTTTCAGCTCATCGAAGAATATGGCGCACACATAGACAACAACGATGACGGCCATAATTAGATGCGCCCAGTAGCGCTGGACGTGCTCTGGGGCCACATTACCCCAGGCCAATTGGTCAAGGCCAGTGACATTCCATGTGTCGCCTGTCCCAGTTGCATTCTTGAAGTTTCGGTCTTTTCCACCCACTTTGTTCAGGGGCAATAGGATGGGCAGCACAATGCAACCTAGCGGAACGAAGATCTTGAGAAGCATTCGCAAGTATCGCAGAAAGAAGTAGGCATCCAGGCCACATTTCTGGATGAATTCGGAACTAGAGGTGCGAAAAACAGGGCCAACCCAGCTAAATAAACCCGGCGGGGACGGTTTCGTGCGCTCTCTGTCCGGGACTAAATAAGTTCTAGGTTGACTATGGGGAAGCCCAGTGTTAGTGGTAGTACTGATACGGACATGGTCAGGGATACTCACTAGATACGAGTGAGTTTCCCTTTAAGAAGCAAGAACAGCAAGAATTCAATAGCAAAGACTATCACTGCAGTTGCGAGCGAAGCCAAAAAGGTCTGAATGTTGACACCTTGGCTCCTTTGACCGTTCCCACCAGCATGCTCCAGGGCAGACCCAAGATCGTTCGCCATCACTGCGAGCAACGGCGTTCATGCACTGTGGTCGAACTTTTCGGCGACACTCAGCAAGAATAATCTGCAGTCTTCCCTATGATGTCGTCACGATCGGAGCAACTGAGGTTGAGGGAGCATTCGCGAGAAGAGCGCACGTCGAAGTCATAAGATTAGAGGGAATAATGCACTGCTCATGGATGTAAGGGAAAAGAGCCCATCATTGCTGTACGAACTCGTTGTCAATAATCATTCAGCAGCAGACAGGGCGGATGCGAAACATCGCGCAGATAAAGAGATCAGATCCTTTTATAAAGAATAGAATACATACAGGGAGGCAACAACGAGCTAACATGCAACAAACAAGGTGTCGGCAAGTTGAAATGCGTCAAGGGCACAGACAAAATAATGACAACAGTGGCACCAAGAGCTTCCTGATTCGACCAATTTCACCGTCTAAATTAACGCTAGGCAAGAGAGCTGACAATCCGATCATTTGTGGAACTGCGCTGGGGATGGTCGATCACTACTCCGTAGGTAAGTTAGTTCATTGGACTAAATGACATCAAGCGCCTGCTAAAACCCAAAAGATGAATGCGACGGCGCTTCTTGGACAATTGGCCCACTACCGAGGGGTACTGCTGTTTCGTACTCTACAAGAGGTTTCTGAAGGATTGGCCAGTAAGTGCCCTTATTACTGAATCCTGCTTAGATACTCGTATCTATTTTTGTTAGTGATCTAGGTAGAGATCTCTTACAGAGTGTTGTTCACCTTCACACTGAGCCTAGATACCTGAGGCATTCTTGAGGATTG